AGGATTTCATTAGCCTGCCTCTTAAGGCAGTGAAGTCTCCATCCCCTCCCACGCTCCCTCCCCAGCCCGACCCCATCCGGCGCAGGGGTGGTGGGACCTCAGCCTTCATCTGGAGCTTCCCAACAAGCCGTAAGTCCTTGGGTTGGAAAATCCGTTTTCCCTCTGGCTGTTTTATTGTTGCCCTGTCAGCCCCTCTGCACGGCTGGTAGAGTTGGATCAATTTTGGGGGTTGGCTTTGGGGCTGTATCCTGCTCTGCTTCAGGAGCAGGGAGAAGGGACAGCCCTGCTGGCATCCCCCTGACGATGGGGCAAAGGGGCCAAGGTGGGCTGGGGAGCTGCCAGGGTTGTTTGTGGATGACAAATGGGGCAAGGAGTGCCCCTCCCTGGAGGGAGGTTGGGGGGAGATTTTGGGTGGTTTCCCAAAGGAAAGGCTGTGGTTGGGGCAGGATGGGTGCAAGGGTGCAGAGCAGCAGCATCCTGGCACCCTGACACCAATGGGGAGAGGGACAGAGGGAGCAGGAGCAGCAGAGGGGTTGGGAAAGCATCCTGCAAACCTCTCCATCTCTCCGCAGCCATGAATCCCTACGTCAACTGCTCCTGCCCTGAGTTTTCCCTGTCCCAGCAAGACTTCCCTGTGGAGCCCATCAGCCCTGATCTCTGCAACAAGACTCACCCGGAGACCTTGTTCGACCCCAAGGATGCCAACCTGACAGAGGAGCAGCTGCGGGATAAGTACCTGGGACCTCGACGGTCCAGCTTCTTTGTCCCTGTCTGTGTCATCTACCTGCTGATCTTCGTGGTGGGGGCTGTGGGCAACACACTCACCTGCATCATCATCCTCCGGCACCGGTTCATGAGGACACCCACCAACTACTACCTGTTCAGCCTGGCTGTCTCCGACCTGCTGGTGCTGCTGCTGGGGATGCCGCTGGAGCTGTACGACATGTGGAGCAACTACCCCTTCCTGCTGGGCGCCAGCGGCTGCTATTTCAAGACGCTGCTCTTTGAGGCTGTCTGCTTCGCCTCCATCCTCAATGTCACGGCCCTGAGCGTGGAGCGCTACATCGCCGTGGTACACCCACTCAAGGCCAAGTACGTGGTGACCAGGAATCATGCCAAGAGGGTCATCGTCACCATCTGGGTCTTGTCGGTCGTCTGCTCCATCCCCAACACCAGCCTCCATGGGCTGCAGCCTCTCTATGTACCTGGCCGAGGGCGGGTGCCCGATTCGGAGATCTGCACCCTGGTGAAGCCGCGCTTGACCTATAACCTCATCATCCAGATCACCACCATCGTCTTCTTCTTCCTTCCCATGGGGACCATCAGCATCCTCTAC